GCGGGTGGTGGGGGCCGCGGAGCGGGGGCAGGAGCCGGGTCCCCGCAGCGCCACGGCCACCGTGCGCATCGCCGTGGAGGACGACAACGACAACGCGCCGCAGTTCAGCGAGAAGCGGTACGTGGCCCAGGTCCCCGAGGACGTGGCGCCCAACACAGCCGTGCTGCGGGTGACAGCCACCGACCGGGACAAGGGCAGCAATGCCCTGGTCCACTACAGCATCGTCAGCGGCAACACCCGCGGGCACTTCTACATCGACGCCCAGACGGGCGCCCTGGATGTGGTCAGTCCCTTGGACTACGAGGTCACCAAGGAGTTCACCCTACGGATCCGGGCGCAGGACGGTGGCCGCCCGCCCCTCTCCAACATCAGCGGGTTGGTCACTGTCCAAGTGTTGGATGTCAACGATAACGCTCCCATCTTTGTCAGCACCCCCTTCCAGGCCACCGTGCTGGAGAACGTGCCGGTGGGTTACTCTGTCATCCACGTTCAAGCCATCGACGCCGATTCCGGTGACAACAGCCGGTTGGTCTACACCCTCCTGGAGACCAGCACCGGCTTCCCCTTCGCCATCAACAACAGCACCGGGTGGATCGTGGTGGCCTCCGAACTGGACCGGGAAGCGGTGGACTTCTATGGCTTCGGGGTGGAGGCGCAGGACCAAGGTCACCCCCCCATGGCCTCCTCAGCCAGCGTCAGTGTCACCATCCTGGACGTCAACGACAACAGCCCTGAGTTCACGCAGCGGGAGTACAGCGCCCGGCTGAACGAGGACGCGGCGGTGGGCACCAGTGTCCTCACTGTCTCCGCCCTTGACCGTGATGCCAACAGTGTCATCACCTACCAGATCTCCAGCGGCAACACCCGCAACCGCTTCTCCATCACCAGCCAGAGCGGCGGGGGCCTCCACTGCCTGGTCCCTCCCCTGGGAGCGGCAGTACCTCCTGACCATCACCGCCTCCGACGGGACCCGCCAGGACACTGCCCACGTGGTGGTCAACGTCACCGACGCCAACACCCACCGCCCTGTCTTCCAGAGCTCCCACTACACCGTCAACGTCAACGAGGACCGGCCAGTGGGCACCACGGTGGTGGTCATCAGTGCCACGGATGAGGACACGGGGGAGAACGCCCGGATCACCTACCTGATGGAGGACAGCATCCCCCAGTTCCGCATCGCCGCCGAGACGGGCGCCGTCACCACCCAGATGGAGCTGGACTACGAGGACCAGGTGTCCTACACCCTGGCCATCACGGCGCGGGACAACGGCATCCCGCAGAAGTCAGACACCACCTACCTGGAGATCCTGGTGAGCGACGTCAACGACAACGCTCCTCAGTTCCTCCGGGACTCCTACCAGGGCTCTATCTATGAGGACGTGCCCGCCTTCACCAGTGTCCTCCAGGTCTCTGCCACCGACCGTGACTCGGGGCTCAACGGCAGGGTCTTCTACACCTTCCAAGGGGGTGATGATGGCGACGGTGACTTCATCATCGAGTCCACCTCGGGCATTGTCCGCACCTTGCGCCGCCTCGACCGGGAGAACGTGCCTTTCTACACCCTCCGGGCCTTCGCCGTTGACAAGGGGGTCCCGGCCAAGAGGACACCAATGGAGATCCAAGTGACGGTGCTGGATGTCAACGACAACCCACCCGTCTTTGAGCGGGATGAGTTTGACATCTTCGTGGAGGAGAACAGCCCCATCGGGCTGGTGGTTGCCCGCATCACGGCCACCGACCCCGACGAGGGCACCAACGCCCAAATCATGTACCAGATCGTGGAGGGCAACATCCCTGAGGTCTTCCAGCTGGATATCTTCTCCGGAGAGCTCACCGCCTTGGCCGACCTGGACTACGAGTCCAAGGCTGAGTACATCATGGTGGTCCAAGCCACCTCAGCCCCCCTGGTCAGCCGGGCCACCGTCCACGTCCGCCTTCGCGACGTCAACGACAACCCCCCCCAGCTGCAGAACTTTGAGATCCTCTTCAACAACTACATCACCAACCAGTCGGGCAGCTTCCCCGGGGGGGTCATTGGCCGCGTCCCCGCCCACGACCCCGACGTCTCCGACAGCCTCACCTACACCTTCGAGCAGGGGAACGAGCTCAACCTGGTGCTGCTG